CAATATGACTTTTTAATAACACCTACAGCCAGAAATTGGTGATAGTGTTGGCAGGGGAAGAACTGCAGATATTTTAAGGTCAGAAAGAACACAAGGAGTTAAAGCAAGAGGAGATGATGGTGGCAGCAAGGAGAGGAGGGAGATAAATGTCCAGCCCGGGAAAGAAGAACAACAAATTTCATTCTGGGGAAGAACTCCAGATGTCTCCTGTCTTCCTCCTAGCTTAATGTGCTTCACCTCTCCAGATAGTCCTCCAATAAAAAAAGTAGTATCACAAGCCAAAAAGAGAAAAAGGCGCCAAGAGTCAATTATGGCCGTGAGGGCCACGGTGAGGAACGCGGTGGTCATACAACATGAGTTGACTAGACGACCAGCAGCAAAGCAACCCCGAAAAGCTGCGCTGACTCACAGGAAACACAGACTGACCAGTGATCCGAGAAAATGCCAAGTGCGGAATCAGCCATCCAACGGGACAACCTAATCACACTGATCAGCTTGCTGTGCTCACCCATTTCTCAGCTCCATGTGGGTTTTTCACTGTTTCCTGGACTTTACTTCCACCCCCCTGCCAACGCCCCCCCCCCCCCCCCCCCTTGATGCTCAGACAGCATTTCCTCCACTAAAGTTTCCTTCCCGCTGAGTTACACTCCAGCTGCTCTCCACTCCCATAGGTCAGAGCACGCCCCGGGCACGTCTCCCATTCGCCACCCCGCTGTCAACTGTACCTACACCACAACACCTGAAATCTAGGGCCTGTTCCTTGCGCACGTAACTAGCCCCTATTTTATCACGTGTCTGAGTACCTAAAGCTCTGAGTCCCCGTCACACACGTGAACATCGGTTAAGAGTTGGGGGTGGGGATGCGCAGAAGGGGAGTGAGCTCAGCTGCATTAGATCAGGAAGCTCAAAGGCCAACAATAGGAATTTGATTTCAGGTAGTCAGTCTCATGAAGGTGCAAAGTTGTGTCCTCAGGCTCAAAGCAGAAAGGCTCCACAGCAGCATTCATCTGTCTCAACCTCTGGGAACACATCCCCAAGTGCATGATGGGGTCTCAGCACCAAGAATAGGACACCTTGTTACATTATTACTATAGTTACAATTGAAGTGAGTTATAGTCTGAAATCCCAACTAAGGAGCCTCTTACAGCTCAAAAGAAAGACTCTACTGTGCATATATTTCTAATTCCTGTATGTCATATCTAAATTGCACAATCCAGACTTTCCATTAATTCAGAATGGCCTTCATGATAGGTTTCTATGAAGTAACCATTTCTCCTCATTCCATAGCTGTCCATGAAACTTATCATGCTAGTAAGGTGGCATGAGAAAATGATCTTCTTGCTTGAATAAAGATGTTATTGTTACACTAGATGCAAAATATGTTTCTTTTGTTAAACTATGAGGATAAGCTTCTGGAAGGTTTACTGGTAGGGAAAGGATGGTCTTCTGTGACAAAACAATCCTAAGAAAGGAGAAAACCAAATAGCTTTCTCTTCCATAAACAGAGTAGAGGTGTTCCTGGAGTACTTATAATAATAAGTCACCAAGTTTTCCAGCAGACCATTCAACTCTGGACAGAAGACACATTTCCCAATACATAAAAGGATCTAAATCTTTCATACACCCTCTGTGAGGCTAACCTTAAATATAAAAGCTACCTACACACAGGATGTTTCTTCCTGCTACTCAAACTATGCCATCAAGAAGAAAGCACAGGGTGCCTGGGTGGCTCAGTTGGTTAAGCGACTGCCTTCGGCTCAGGTCATGATCCTGGAGTCCCAGGATCGAGTCCCGCATCAGGCTCCCTGCTGGGCAGGGAGTCTGCTTCTGCCTCTATCTCTCTCTCTCTCTCTCAAATAACTAAATAAAATATTTTAAAAAAGAAGAAGAAAGCACAATAATGGGGAAGGCATCAAGTATAAAGCTAGCTAGCGTTTACTGAGGGCTTACATTGTGCCAGCTACCATGGATTATTTCTTTTAATCCTAACAACCACATTACGATGTACACCAACTCCCATTTTAAAAGCGAGGAAGCAAATTTTGAGTAACCAAAGTCAGCAGCTACAAAAAGTGGCAAAACTACAACTGTAACCCTGGTTACAGGATTCTGGTCCACAACCACACATCTACACAAGTACGTTTGCCAAAATATGGATCAGCAGCACATTGGGTGGTGGCGAGAATGCAAGGCTGTCCCACATCATGGACAAATTAGAGGGAATCAAGGGAAAGCTCACGGCATACTGTAACCACTGTCTACACCTTTAAAAAGTTTAAATTACTAGAAAATAAGATCAGAAGGCAAATCACAAAATACAGTTGACCCTTGAACAGTGTGAGGGTCAGGGGCACCGACTATATATAAGTTTTGACTCCCCAAAAACTTAACTGCTAGTAGCCAACTGTTGACCAGAAGCCTTATTGATATTTTGTTTGTTGTAATACATACTGTATTCCTATAATAAAGGAAACTAGAGAAAAAATTCTTAAGAAAATCACAAGGAAGGGACGCCTGGGTGACTCAGTCAGTTAAGCATCTGCCCTCGGCTCAGGTCATGATCCCAAAGGTCCTGAGATCGAGTCTCACATCAGGCTCCCTGCTCAGCATGGAGACTGCTTCTCCCTCTGCCTGCCACTCCCCCTGCTTGTGCTGACAAAGAAAATCTTAAAAAAAAAAAAAATCAAAAGGAAGCAAAAATACATTTACAGTACTATTAAAAAATACATGTGGAAGTAGATCCATGCAGTTCAAACCCATGTTGGCCAAGGGTCAACCGTATAATAATTTTAGTGAGGCAGGCAGAATGAGATAATGAAAAGAGCCCTGATTTAGAACCACTGCGCTTGTGTCCATGCTAAACACGGAGACTCAAGCCCCTCATGATAAAATTGTCATGATAAAAATACAGCTCACCCTTTTGTTGTCACCAGAATAGTGAGAATATAAGAATATAAGCAAGAATATGCCAGCACTGTGCCTGGCAGAAAACAGATACTACAATAGTTTGTTTCATCTTTTATTTTCAAAACACAAGTAGGGGCGCCTGGGGGGGCTCAGTCGGTTGAGCGGCAAACTCTTGATTTCAGCTCAGGCTGTGATCTCAGGGTTGTGGAACCGAGCCCTGTGTCTTGGGTGCCCTGGCTCAGTGGAGAGTCTGCTTCTTTCCTTCTCCCTCTGCCCCTCCCCGTGCCTGTCTGCTCTAAAATAAAATGAATCTCTAACACACACACACACACACACACACACACACACACACACACACACGACAGCTCCTGTCTATATACTGTAAATCCTCCCTGGACACCGCCCCCTCCTCTACCCTCAACACACCCACAGAGAAACTCCTTTTTGGTGCATCAGTTTCTCTGAGAAAATAATTCTATCACTCATAATCTGCCTTCTTTTAATGGCACATAAAATAGTCTAGATAACAGTATTTCTGCCTTATTTCACGCTTTCAATATACAGAAATCACAAGGTGCTATTTAAGTACATGAAAGCAGTTTAGAAAAAAAGTTAAAACAAGATAACATTCCAAAAGCAAGAAGTATTGAAATAGGCAAGCACAGTATCTTGAGTCAAAGAGTAAATTTGACTCAGGTTTTCTCCAGCCTTCTCTCTCATACAACACAACTGGTAATCTTAAAAAAAAAAAAAAAAAAAAAATCAGAGCACTGTACCAAACACTCACATGTGGTTTTTTCATGAAGTACATTCTCAGACTGAAATCAGCCTGGTAGCCTTTAAAAATAAAATGGCCTGAGAAAAGCTGTTTCCATTTTTTTTTTTTTTTTTTACAAAAAACTGATTTAAGAGTACATGGTCTTTAGTGAAGAGTTCATAGCTGTGAGATACTCGCATTGCCATTAAAAAGTGAAAGCTCCAACCATAGAACCACCAATCTTTGAAGTCAGAAAACGACAGGCGTCTGTCTCTACGTCCTCTACCCCTCCTCTCATTTCCTTACAGACCATGGCTCACAATCACAGATGCACAACGGTCCCTTCATTCCTACCAAACCACCCAGGTCTGAAAAAGTGTGAAGCATGTGTCCCTTAAACACCTACAGGAAAGTTGCTAATCAACATCCTTGAGACTCAACACTGAAAGGGCAAATCACAAACTTGTTTCCTAAACCAGAAAGCAGATGCTTCTGGTCCCCAGTGAAACTGAAGGCTCCTCCCACTCACAGAAGAACGATAACGGGTTTCAGTTCTTTCGATTCATTTTTTAGAAGACGAATTTTTAAAAAGCAACTGAGCACACGTGTTCTCCCTTCCACCCTTACATACATTTACAATCCCTCCATTTTTTTCTTCAAGTTACAGAAGTCCATAATAAGTACACTCGCTTGAAAGGCATTAGGAACTCATTTTGAGGACTGAGGTCTAGAAGACAGGCAGAGAGAGAGGTGAGGAAGCCGAGTTCGGTTGAGTTTTCTTTTTCATTCCTGCACTAGCAGGCAATTACGCATATGTGTTTTCAAACAAGGAAGGCGTTTGGAACGCACAACGATGCAAAGTAATGCGAGGCACAAGAAACGGGCACGATGCAGCTGGCGTGCTCTGTGTCACAAAGGCGGCTGGGGCACAGTACTGAGAGTCTGAGGCTCCCAGCTGCCTCCCATCGCATCCGGTCCCAGGTCCCAAAACCAACGGGCTCGGGACCCGTGAGAGAGAAGCGGACAAGCACTGGGCGCCCCTCTGGGGGAGGGGGGGGCGAGAAAGTGACGGGAGACTGCGGGAGCGCGGGGAGGACGGGTGGCGGGTCCCGCAGAGCGAAAGGACAACGGAACGGGGGTGGAAGGGGGCGATGTGACAAAGGCGCAGAAGCTCCGGTTGCAGCGCAGGCCGAGGGTGGCGACCTGGGCACCGGGGCCGGGGATTAGTGACCCACGGGAGGGGGAGGAGGCTTCTGGGGCCCGCGGCAGATCGCGGCGCGTGAGCCGGCCCGGAGGGGCGCGTGGCCCGGGCGGGGGAGCAGGGCGCGTCGGTCACCTGTATTGTTTGAAAAGCTGGTCCGACTCCCTGAAGCCGTTGTTGAGCAGCATGTTGATGCCAGCCAGGGCCAGCTCCGCGTCCTGCAGGGGTGCCGCCGCCGCCGCCGCGGCCGAGTCTCCGTCGTCCTGCCGCCGCGGCCGCTGCTGCTCCGAGCCCGCCATGGGCGCGCGAGGCTGTGCGCAGGGCCGAGGCGAGGTGGGGCGACAGCTGCTGCGGCCCTGGAGCGCCCCGAGCCCGGCTCTACCTGCCCGGAGCGGCGCGCAGCGGAGCGGGGCGGGGGAGGGGCGGCGCGCGGGGGGGGGGGCGGGGGGGGGGGGGGGGGGGAGGAGCCGGGCCGGCTGCAGCGCGGCGGGGGACGTGAGCGCCCAGGCCGCCACCTCCCGCCGCCGCGGGGATTACTCAGCAGCAGCCTGCCCGCCTGCTCCTCCCGCTCCCTCCGAGACGCTCCTCTCGCACGGGCACCCAAGTGGAATCCGTTTCCGGGTGTCTCTCACCCCGCCGAGCCGGGACCCGAGCGGCCGCCGCCCCTGCTTCCTGCAGCCCCCACGCGCCGCCCGGGTCCCTCCGGGCCCAGGTCCCCACCCTGCACCCCTCGCCCTGCCGCCCTGGGCCAGCGCGCCGAGCCTGCTCGGACACTCGCGAGGCACTTGAGGCCCGGACTTTGACTCTTTCCTCCAAAAGAGCCGGACCCGGGGGTCGCGGGGAAGCAAGCGGGCTTGAAAGGGGGACGGGGAACTGCGCCTGGGACGCAACGAGAGCGCACGGCTGGAGACCACCTGGCGGCACCCGGCGCACTCTACCCTAGTGGGTAGCGCCAGAACCCCAGAGTTGCGGGCGCCCGCGACCCCCAACTTTACCCCGACCTTGGGGCCGCCCCCCTAGCTCAAGGTAGCCAATCCCCGAGGAGGTGGGAGGCGGGGGCGGGGCCCGAGGGCACCTGCCGGCCAGCTGCCCGGAGCCCGGCGCTGAGGAATAGAGCGGGGAGGATCCTGGACCCTCTCTGGCCGCCACCAACATTTTTGCCCGATGGGGCAAGAGGACAAATGGAGGCTAATGTGGCAAATACCTAAATATTTAAAGTTTATAAATTAAGCTCTTCAAGTGATTTCTATTATTACCCCGACAATTACACTTTCATACCAATGAAACAGAAAAAATAAGTATAAAGCTCTGGTTTATTATATGACCGAATATCAGTAAAATGTCAAAGATGACAGAACTCAGTCATTGCATATGTCTGACTGTTCTAATGATGGACTGGTAATGTCTGCGTGGGTAATATGGAGACAATTCACAAGTAATGTTTATGTTTTTCCAGAAATTTCTATTTTCACCTTTATTTTAGCAAAATCACTAAATATGTTGTGACAATCAAGATTATGTTCTTAATGTCAAATCGGACCACCTTTCTTAAGTCATTGTCGTTCTTATAGTGTGGTTTATTAATTTCAGTTTGGAGAAATGGCTCTGCTGAAGCATTTACAACTGAAACTTTAAAAATTAAATTGATATTCGGGTTTAGAGAGTCACCCATTCACATCCAGCATTATAATGAGGTCAATATGATAAATTAGCGCAGAAAATACTTCAAAAATATTTTTATTTCATCATACAAGTTGCTACCACTTATTTTGTGATTTGTGCCATCCCTTACAAGAATATCTAAACCCATAGATTGTTTCCAGCATTCATATACTTAAGATATGTGAATTGCTGTCATTCCTTAGCTGTCATTTGTCAGAACACCATGCTAATTCTTGAGTACATCTGGAGCCACAAATTGGAACATCAAAAGAAGCAAGAAAATGGATGATTCTCACCTCTGGGAAACAATGCTTTGTAATACAGGAGTCACTGCGTTCATGTGATCTGAAAGGACTTGATAGGTTTGCCAGGTTTTATCCAAGTACTTTTGGATGTAAAATAGTGTTAGATTCAAACATAATAATAATAATTATTATTATAGTAATAATAATAATAATAAAAAGATTCCAGTATCAGCAGTGCCACAGATCTACATGGCATTCATAGGTTGTAACCTTTGTTTTTAGGACACTGAGCAAGAGATAAGTCACATTGCCTTGTGGTCTGAACATTGTTAATTGTGAGAATGGGTGTTAAGTGTTCTTAAGTTCTTTGAAGTCAGCACCCAGTGCCGGATCCTGAGTGACAGAAGTGCACATGTGTTCTTTAATACATTTTTGTGTGTGTCTGTATCTTTTACTGGGCCATCTAACACACGTCTTAGGTACTGTACTGACCATGGGGCTCTTGACAGAGTGTTCCCTGGTCACACATTGCCAGTGGTAACCAGAGGTGACAACATGCCCAGTGCTCATGAGCTGCCTGAACTTTGGATCTGTGGAACCATCTACCCCCTAATCCTGAAACAATCTAGTCAACAAGGGAGAGAAGCCAAGAGGGCAATACCAAACCTAGCAGATAACCTGTCCTCCCCCACCTGGAAAAAGCAGCCATGCCCAGTTCTCCATGTCCATCAAGGAGTTAATGGCCCCGTGGGCATTAACAAGTTGGATCCGGGACCCAGCAGCTCAGAATGGGGGGTGGGGGATGAGCAAAATCAAAGCAATCTGTCTCAGAAACCTAGTACAAATGGTTACACAGACTTAGTGAAATTTAGCTGTTGAGCAATTGGGGCAAGATCCAGTGCAACTGCCCAGCACCCCATAATAGGTGATATGGATAGAGGATAACTCTGCCATGTAATTTACACCAGATATGTGCCAAATTGGATCTAACCAAATGCCACAATTAGATTAGCAGCAACATCTTGAACGGACATTTTCAAATATTTGCTCTCCAATGAGGGATACAAAGAGGATTCAAAACGGGGCTCACAACCCGGAAGTGAGACAATACGTGACCCAGTAATTAGATCTGTAACAGCTGTAGTTGGCACTGACACCTGCCCAACATTTACACCTGGCAGGTAGGGAATGAAGGCTGCTCATGTTTTCTTCACTAGATAACAATGGCAGATGAGGATGGATGTTTAAGAGGTCAAAGTATATTACCTACAAAAGGAAGGAAAATCTAGATTACCAACACGTTAGGGCGCCATACACTTGAAATGGTAAGATTCTCAGCACCCATTTGTTGCACTAAAGGCAGTCTTCAGTGCACTTGGCTGCAACCTAATAGGATTTACCCAGCGTTCCCTTTGGCAGGAGGAAGGAACAAAGGAGAGGGAGGGAGAGGGAGAGGAAAAGCTCTCAAATGGAGGAAAAAAACGATTTTCTTTCTACATACCTCTTGTGGGTATTATCAGTATTTTGTGGTTCTTCATGAGGTTTCATTGTGAAAATGAAACTCCAAGTCTAAATTATTTGTGAAAAGTTTTAGATGTGTCTTACTTTTTACATGATAGATTTTTTGTAAGTTAAGACGTCTTGATGGCAAGTAACAGAAAAATCTGACCCAAATGGCCCAGAAAAGCAAATTTATTGGTTCATAAAGGGGATTTCCCAAAAGGAGGCTGGGCCACGGCTGCAAAACTGTGACTTGGACCCAATTTCTCCACCTTTCTACCCTGCAGCTTGCCACTTTGGTGCTTGGTGGGTCTATTCGTAGGCCCTTCTGTCCCGGTACCCAAAAAGCTAGAAGTTTCCCGGGGCTACCTGCTTGCTTTTTCACATCCAGTAGCAGGACATTACATTTTCAACGCTTAACCCCAAATCCCCTAACTGAATCTCACTGGCTTTCAGTGGCTCTCAGGGTGCTCATTTTTTTTGTTTTGTTTTAAGATTTATTTATTTGAGAGAGGGAGAGAGAGAGAGCAGGGGGCAGGGGGAGAGAGAGAGGAGATTCCCAGCTGAGCACGGAGCCCGATAAGGAGCTGCATTCCAGGACCCTGAAATCATGACCTAAGCCAAAATCAAGAGTCCAATGCTCTACCAACTGAGCCACCCAGGCACCCCCAGGTGCTCGTTCTTGAATCAATCAATGTGGTTAGAAGGAGGTGGTTTATTATGACTGGATTAAGCCAATCAGAGCCTGCTCCAGGATCTGGGCGGTGAAACCAATTCCACCGCTGGGAAATTCTAGGCCCGCTAAGAAAAGGAATGTAGGAAATGGATGTCAGAGGGACAACTAGCAACATTCCCTACTCTTGTCTTCTTAAACATGTTTTGAGTTTTTGGAATTGCGTTTTAAATGCATTTAGAGAACATACTACCTTAAGAAGTCTTGTATGTGCTTAGGTCATATTAACATTTTTTAGGAATAGTAGTAACCATGCTTTGATGTATCTTTCTGTAAACCTGCACCACCAGTTGAAATAAATATAGGTTCCCAGAATGTCTGGAACTCTAAAATGGAGGAGAACTAAGAAATTAATGTTACTGCATTTTCATGGTATGCTATATCTTTGCTATCAAACTCAGACCTGTCACTCTACCAGAGGTGAGAGAAGATTGAGTTAACTGCTTGTAATCAAAAAGCACATCAAGTCAAGGGTTGACATGTAAAACTGTAAAGCAGGTTCCTTCCTTTTCTCTGGCCTCTAAGGAGAGAAGCGCGTGGTGGACCCAAGGGGATCCACCTGGCTGTTTCTCCAGCAGGGTGGATGCCTCCAACAGACACTCCCACTGCCCTGCAGACCACAGTGGTGATCACGAAGCAGGAAACTATCCCCTTCAGACTGGATGCCTTTTCATCTGCTTTTCCCCAAACTGAATACCCAATGGACATAATAGAGATTTAAGCAGGTGTTTACTAGAGGTGAGATCATTGCTCTGCTGCTGTATAGATTTGGAGGCACGACTGGGGAAGGCATCATGTCCTTCCTCCAGTGGCTTAAACCCCCCCTCCCCCCGGGTAAGTAAGTCAAGCAGTGAGGCCTCCTGCCCAAGTCCTGGATTACGATGTGTTGGAGTGGGAGCTCAGCTCCTCTCTTGGTCTTCACAGAGGTTCTCCTTCCTTCTCTTTCTCCCTTCCCGTTCCTTTACGTTTCCTTCTGCATCCCTTGCCTTTAACCTGCCTCCTTGCTTTTCACTGACAATTGCTGCTCCCTAGATCTACCACCCCCCCCTGCTCCTTGCAGAAATATTCAAGGCTCCCTCTCCTTTCGTACCTTCTCATGATTTGCACATTTTGCAGCCTCTGGTGAATGCCCATAACTTCTCTGTCCACTGATTGCTGCTCTGAAAAGGAAGAAGTTGTCCCTGGTTTCAAGGTCTGGGTCTGCTGAGTCCTGGGGGTGGGAAGCAAATGGGCTCTGGGCCTATGGATGAG